GGCGGGGGGTCTGCGATGGAGCCGGCCCCTTGGGCTCCGCATCGCTGCCGAGTCCTGAATTAAAAAAAAAAAGCCACACTTTTTAAAAAAATAAATACAAGCGTATATGTGTGTATGTATATATTTCGACCTGTTCTCATTTCCTGCCGTGTGCGGCGTTGGGGAGCTGATCCGGCAGCTGTAGGAACAGGCTTGGTTCTCCTTTTTTTTTTTTTTTTTCCTCCTTCCAATTCATGACTTAAAGTTGAGGTTTAAGAGGCAGCGATCCTCAGGACAGTGACAGGAAAGATACTGTGCGTCTCAGCCCTCACCAGTTGTTAACTGGGTTTTTTAAGTATAAAAGGCTCTTTTGAGAGAAAGAAGAGAGAAGATAAAAAAAAAAAAAAAAGGCCTACCTATGCTGCCTGTTTCAGGTCGCTTACTATCCCGTCCAGTTCTCCTCCCCCAGTGGTTTCTGCAATGTACTAGACCCCATTATATACTTACAAAGATGCAGATATGCACCAATCCATTTCAGTGGATTGTCTGCTGAAATTTTATGCTTGTGTTTTCAGAGCAGCGTAGGCTTTTAATATGTCGCTTGCCTCCAGGGTTAGGGAGAACTTCCTGAATAGAATCTCCTAGCAGGAAAATAAAATGTTATGTTGCTTCACCCATGCTTACGTTTCAGCTCTGGGATGATGTTGTAGCAGCTCAGCATTCTTTTTTGGCATCTGCTTCCAGGAAGAGGAAGAAAGGAGGTCTCTTGCTAGAGCCAGGTGAAAAAGAGGAAGAAAAGGCTCAGCAAAATGAAGAGGAAGAAGGAGTGGATAACTTAAAGCAGGCCGAAAGAGACAGAGAAGAAGAAGAAGAAAAAAAGAAAGAGGATGCTCTTTGGGCCAGTTTCCTTAGTGACGTGGGACAGAAACCTAAAGCGTTGGCTGCCACACAAGTGACGCAGACTAGCAAGGTAACAGAGGCCTGCGCCTCTGCTGAGTGGCTGGGGGTTGGGTCTGAAGACTTAAAGCACAGAGATGGAAAGTGTCGGTCTAGGTAGTAACACATGTTGGACAGAGCATTGAAAAAGCTGGATTCCCCCATGCCCGTCACTCTTAGCTTGGAGCCCCACCATGGGGCAAATTGGAAGCGGCTGGTTTCTGTGGAAGCTGGAAAGGTCTGTGATCTGATAGTGCTGCTTTTTGAGCTGCTTGTGGGATCTAAGAGTGTCCCATGGTTGGCTTCCCTTCCTGGTCGTGGATTCTCCTTGTAAGACGTAAGCAGCACAGTGAGGTTCTCTCTGCATTGCCCTTGTTGGGCATTGCCCAAGGCTGCGTGGCAAGGCTTGTGTTTTCCTTTGTGCCCTTGAAAGGGAGACTGTGCAAATGAAGTGGGAGAAGAGACCTGTGCTGACATCTCCATTCCTTGCTCTTCGTCATGGTCCAGTGGGGGGAGTGTCTTAGAGATGCTGTGCGTTTGGGTGGACGTTTGTAATAAAAGAAAATCTAGTTTCCTTTGTAACCCCCCTTTTGCTGTCTGTCTGTGGAGGTTTTCTGTAAAGAGAGTGCTTTGTGTAGTTGGCCATTTGAAAGAGTCTTAAACTCATCTGCATGCAATTGCCCTACAAAATCTTTCACGCAGGAAGTGACAGAAGGGAGAAAGGAACCTAAACTAACTCTCTGGTGTTGGAGTTGATTTTTTTTTTTTTTTTGAGCGATCACTCCAAAAAGTCATAGAACAGGAGTCCTGACTCTTGGATCAGTGAGGCATGTTGAACACCAAGTTCTCCTCCTCATTGTATGAAGTTTTTTTCTGCTGCATTTAGAAGTTGGAGGACACTTGTGGTTGTGTAATCATTGCTTGTGGCTTTTAGAGGAAGAATTCTTTCAGCCTGAGCCCTCGGGCTTACTTTCCACCTGAACTGTTTTCTGATTGAACAGCTGAGGCAGTTATATGTAAAATTAGAGAGGGGACGTGGGAGAGAAAAAAAATCTCTTCTGAGCAATGCTATTTCTATGGGCAGAAAATCCATTCATGCTAAAAACATGAATGGACTTTGAAAGTTCCTCTTTAGCCTAAAATAATTTCTGGACAGATACTGTTCCTCTGCTCTTCTTAGTGAACTTTTTAATTTGGACTTCTTAAGTCATCTTCTTGAAGACCTGTGCAGTGTGTGGTTGATTACAAGCAAAAGTTGAAGTTGTTGCTTTGATGTATATGGAGCCTTTTTTTTAAAAATGTACACCATTAAAAGCTGTAGTTACTGATTAAATTAAGAGGCATTGTTGACGTAGCTTAATCTCTTCAGGGTTTTCTGTGAAGGTCAGCCTTAACTCTTGCTGCTTATAGGTTGCGTTCTCTTCAATTCTTGGTCAAAAATAAATGTATTTCTAGGTAATCTGTGCTGGCAGGATTACTATATGGTTGTGCTTAGTTTGGGATGGAAAAATCAGCCTCCAGGCTTCAGCTTACTTGCTTTTTGAACCAGAGCACTACATTTATGCTACTTCCTGCATTTAATTACAATTTCACTTCTAGTTTTGGGTCTGTTCTGATCTTTGACCTGCACTGAGAGACTGGAACCGAAGTGGGGAATTTCCTTCTAGCAGCAAGGGCATGTTTCTTTCCTCTTCTGTGTGGGTGACTTGCTTTGTAGAGCAAGCTTAAATTGCAGTGTGTTGGGTCCTTGACCACTTGGGATGGTAACTCCACAAATGCACTTTTTTCCCCCTTTTTTTTTTTTTTTGGCTTTTTCCTTCATGTATTTCACAGGCTGAAGAAAAGAATGTGAACAAGCTTCAGGAGAAATCAAAAGAGTCTGAGAAGCCAAAAGATGCAGGAAAACTGACAATCACCAAAGTGTTTGATTTTGCGGGTGAAGAAGTCAGGTAAGTTGGCAGATCTAACACCTCTCAATTACTGTAGGCTAAGTGGGGGCGGGGGGGAAAGGATGCTTTTCTTCTGCTGACAGGCTGGACACCTGCTGTAGAGCATGGTGCATCAGCTCAGTTGTCCCGTGCACTTTCCAGTCTGGGTGGTGTACAAAACAGTTGGTAAAAGGAGAGAACTACATATGACCCCACAGGGATGACAGTAATGTGTTTTATTCCTTAAGTCTAGTTTCAGTGCTGTGGTGAGGGCAGAATATCTGCTGGCATTTGCCCTTGGTGATGTGCACAGTCCAATACGATGATCTGAAGAAGAGTAAGAGGTGTTTGGCAAAACTGAGTAATAGCTAATCCCTTTTTTCCCCAAGACAACTGCAGCAAAGGTGATGGGCCAGGTAAAGTCATCCTTTAGACTGAATTTGGCATGCAAGATGCCTCTTGGATGCTCTGCAAAAGGTGCAGGCATGTTATAACACTTAAGACCAGTAGTGAGGGGCCTTGGTTGAACCCCCTTGCTGTTTGCACTGTGACCTCGTTGCGGTGGTTATGGTGGTGCATTTCTTAAGTGTAGCTGATTGCAAGAAACCTGGTTTTGTCAGGCAAAAATGTCACTGTTATATCTTATGTGACAGCAGAGGGCAGCAGTTCCCAGCAATCATGTATGTGCTGGGTGGAGAAGGAAGCAGAGAGCTCGGGTTTCCGTTGCTTTTGCTTTTCACGGCAGCGTTGCTGACTGAGCTGCTTGAAAAATCCGAAGAGAATCATGAGTCACAGTAGCAACTCCCCCATTGCCCAACACAGTCTGGACTGTAGGAATACCCTTCATTCACTGATGAAATGACAAAGAGCTATCCCACTGCTGCTTACTTTTCTCGGAGAGAGTACCTCTGTGTCACATGCTTTCTCTGAAGGAAAAATGAAGTCTTTCTCATGGACAGATAAAAAAATTATAGCGGGATTACAGACAGAAGCCTTGTCTCGTGATACACAATCCTCCGCTCAGCGGCTGGATTGTTATTTGTCCCCTCTTCTCTTGAGGTCTAGGATAAACGTGTTTGGTTCAAATGTGATGCCCTATCAGGTGACGATAGACAAAGTCATAGAATTGCAGGTCTGTGCTACAAAAGCCTTGTTGCGTTCTGACATATCAGGCAGATGCATATGGCAGAGCTGCGTTTCTTGCGCTTTGGAGAAGCGTGAAATCAGTATGCAATCTTTTTTGAAGTCTAGACTTGTCCATCTGTGTGTTGTCATAGATAAATACCATGTCCTAACGTGTGTAGAAGTGTATCATTTAAAGGAGTGGTTTGATTTACAGGCAAACCTGCTTTGTAGGCTTACTTCAGAACACAAGTCTTCCACTTGTGGAAAGGACTCTTGTGCGTTACAGTTTTAAAACAAGGCTCTTTACAGCCCTTGTAGGACCTAGTAAAAATTCCTGCCTTAATGTTTTTTTCTTTTCCTGTGCAAAGAAGCTGCAGATCATTATGGCTGAAGTGCAGAATTACTCAAACCTTGGGTCTAACGTGAGCATGTGTAGTGACAAGTCATAGCTATGACTAGATCTTGCACAATGGCAACAGATGAGTTTTTCCAGTTTTGCCCCTGCTTATATTGGTAATACTAGTTAGGGAAGTTGGGGAAGCTTCTGTCCTGCCAGAAGAAGTGTCTTGCCTTAGGTGAACGTTTTTCAGGGCTCCTCAAACGTTGAGTTTGTGCTTTCAACATCAGTATCTTACTGATTTTTTTTTCTTTTTTCTTTTTTTTTTTTTAAATAGCTGTATTAAGTTTGCAAATTAGGTAAAGGCATTTTTTTTTTTTGCACTGGCTGCTTTTCCAGTGTCCTTTGTGCTGCTCAGTACTGACTCTTTGCCTTAGGGAATTGCAGGCGAATTGATCATCAGTTTCTACTTGATATTAATCAAATAGGCAAAAGCTGGAGCCTGGGTGACAACAGTAATATTGGAATCCTGCAAACCACCAAGGCTTGTCTGTCTGTCTGTCTGCAGCACTTGTTTCAACAGGTTACAGAGCTGGTAACAAAGTTTGCAGCAAGACCTGGAGGACTTCTTTCTGCTGGTGCCAGAATTATAATGTATCTCTCTCCGTAGTGCCTTAATAACAGAAAGATCCCTCATGTTTTTTGCCCCTTTGCTTTTTGTGACTAATGAGCCATAGTCAAAGCTGCAGCTTTGGTGGCGTTTGCTGCATGTATGCTGTTAACTACCTATAGAATATAAGGGTTTATCACTGCTTATAGCTATTGATACTTTTCTTTAACAGCAGTAGGTGAGGGCCAGAGGGCTGCTTTTGCTGTAGACTAGCAGGAGGTTGTCTTTGCGTGACCCTAAGATCTGCAAATGCTCTGAATACCAAATGCTGACTGACTTGCCCCGAGAAGCAGCTGGCAAATTATTGGTTACAAAGAACAACACGCTTTAGTTTTGTGTGTATCTCTGGACTGAAAGAACTGAAATGAGAGCTATGTTGCTCTGCTTTCTAAATGGTTTGAGGCTACTTCTGAGTGCTGCTTTTTTGAAAGCTTGAGAAGAATTTAGATCAGTATTTAAGCCCTGATAGATTCAGGGCACAAATTTTAACAGTCTGCTCGTTGAAGGTCTCAACAGAAGATCGTTTAGTCCTGATATCGTGTTGCAGAATAACTTTTTTTCTTCCTGTAAGAAGATAGTATAACCTCTCTTGCATGATTGAAACAACAGAGGTCTCTCGAGAGAAATCGCCTTCTATAGGGTCATACTAGAATAGTGAAAGAGATTCCTTTTTGAGCTATAGACTCCCGTGTATATTATTGTTGCTCTTAATGATACCCATTCTGCTTAGTCTGTTATAGTACTGCTGTTGCTAGTGGAGAACTTCTTAAGTTCAGTGTTTAAAATAACCAATTATGAAATTACTAAATTTAGTGTTTTTTACTTCTATAAAATACATGGTTTAGTATTGCCTTGTAAAGCCAAAGCTGTTGAATCCTGGAACTAGAAATAATTTTGATAACCGATTTCTGTGTTTTCCAGTTGTGACTCCTCTCTGCTTTTCGTTCCTCTTGGGTGCTAAGTAGATTGGGAGCAGCAGGTGACTGTCACCCAAATGGCTGTAATTGTGGGCAGGGAGAGCAATTTGCAAAGGCAGTTTACTGTCTAGATGGAAGTTAGGAGTCATTTCTCAGTGCCAGAGAAAATTTAAGCCACTTTGTAGCACTCTGTTTTATGAACCTGCCTCATGATGCAGGATGTGTGGCTGCATTGATAGAGCATCACATCCCTGGTGCCAGGCTTTTTTAATTATTGTTTAATATCTGTTGCAAAACGTAAATGCTGTATCATGGTGCTTATTTTTTGTTTTACAGCCCTACTTCTTTGGTCCCTGGCTTTCTTTAAACTGCTGCTGTGCTTAATAGATCAAAAGGGTTCTTATGTGCTCCTGCAGTGAAAGCCAACCTTGTGTCCATCCAGAACTGCAGCAGAATGCAGCTCACATGAATGGAGCTAGCCCAGCAGTTTGATATTGGTCACAATCAGCGTAACAACTTGTAAGGGAAGAACAAAGTCAGGTCATTGAATGTTAGAAGGGATAGATTTTAATTGGAAACATATTTTGTTTACCTTCATTTGACTTGCAAGGGTGTGAAGCAAAACTGAGAGGAGTAATGGTTGTATGGTGCAGGTGCTAGCTTGGCAATGGGAGACCTCTTTTGTCCTTATATTACAAATCCCAAGTAAAGGGGACAAAGCGGAAAGCATCTTAGTTGTATGCATATATGATTCGCTATTAGTTTTTAAAACCAAAACTTTAAGCATTCATGTTACTGTTTGGATGGGAATGCTTTCCTAATATAGCAGGGTCACTATGCTATACTGATAGTGTTGTGCTGTACCGGGAAAACTGGTTTGTGCTGCTTCAGCAGCTCTGCCAGTTACTTCCCAGTGTCTATGAACAAAGCAGCCAGCCAAAGCGGTGCAACAGTAGGGCTCCACTCTGTCTGTCACTGGGGAGCTGCTGTGCTATGTTCAAGTCAGGCGAGGCATTCCTGTCACAGTTCCCTTTACTTTCCCAGAAGGCTGTCGTCTTCAGGAGCGCCAATTTGGGACCCAGAAAGACTCCTACCAGACTGGGCAATGACCTCAGACCTCTTCAATGTGGTCCCTTCCTGTCCAGTCCTTGCCACTGGTAGGTAGCGTGCTCCTTGCAATTAGCTAACTTCTCGTAGGCAGTTGTTACTGATCCCTGGAAGAACTACACGATTTGAATTTGCATTAATCCTTGAGCCTTTTTCAAGAGTCCTTCTTGCGCTTGCATGCTCTGAGCATGTTTCTGTTTAGATCTCTCACCTGCCTGAGAGGTGTGCCTGTGATATGAGTAATACTTGGCTTGTGGCCACTTCTGTGGCCAAAGAAGTGATGAGAGCTGCACCTGTGGCTCCTAGCAGCATGCTGGGTCTGGATTCAGGCAAAACTGTTTCCGGAAGACTGACTAGGTTTCAAGATCGTCTTTCTGTGTTTGCAGTGTGAGCTCTGTTTCTATGTCTAGATGTCGAGATAAATGAGTGCAAAGATCCAGCCAGTGCTTTTTTGCATGCTACATGTCCTCCTCTTGCTAAGCAGCTGACAGCATCATTCTAATTGCTGTGTCAGAAATGGCAGATCACAGGGCTCTGAACCAGAGGGATTTGCAGCCAGAGAGCTGGGGTCTTTACTGTGGACTTTGCATAACGGGTAAATGTTTGCCCAGTGACACTTGAGTTACTTATTTGAAGGTGAGCAGATGGGTGAGAATTGGGTGAAATTGACTGAAGCTCATCTTTTCGGGTTAGGCTTGGTAATCTTTCTTATCTGCTGCTTAAGTGCCTGTTTGTTGATTGATTCAGGCTGCTTCTGAAAGTATTCCTCAGTGTTTGCCTGATTAAAGCTTGCTGCTGCTCTTTGAAACTCTGTGCTGGAATGCTGTGTGCAGTGGGGCGCTGAGCCCTGCATAGTGCTCTCGCT